CCTTCCCTCCCTCCCCTCTCACCTTCCTCCCTCCCCATTCTCTCACCTTCTCCCTCCTCCTTATATCTCTCACCCTTCCCTCCCTCCCCCCTTATATCTCACCCTTCCCTCCCTCCCCCCTTATATCTCTCACCCTTCCTCCCTCCCCCTTATCTCTCTCTCCCCTCCCTTTATATCTCTCACCCTTCCCTCCTCCATATATCTCACCCTTCCCTCCCTCCCTTATATCTCTCTCACCCTTCCCTCCCTTATATCTCTCACCCTCCCTCCCCTTATATCTCTCAATCTTCCCTCTCCCTCCCTTTATATATATCTCTCCCTCCTCCTCCTTTGTATCTCACCCTTCCCAACTCTCCTTCTCTCAACCTCTTCCATTTTTATCAGGTAATGTCTCTATTATATGGTTTTTTATTTTGATTTTTTTCTCATAAATTTTTGAGTTTTGAAGATAATTATTTATGGAAGGAATTAATGGATTTTTAATGGGAGTAAATATGTGGTATTTCTAGGATGAGTTTTGTATGTTAATGGTATTTTGAGGAGTTTAATGGTATTTTGAGGAGTTTAATGGTGTTTGATATCTTAAGGGAATATAAAATACAGGTGTTAACAGTTATAACACTAAGGTAGATACTGTTAATTGATCGTGTTGATTATTTAGTATCTGTCTTCCTTCTCTCTCTCCCTCCCTCCTGTGGTTTATCTCCCTTCCCCTCTTTCCTCCCTTCCTTCTCTCCCGTGGTCTGTCCTCCTTCTTTCCTCCCCTCCCGTGGTCTGTCCCCCTTCCATCCCCTCCCTCCCCTCTACACGTCTCCCCTGGGTTACTCTCCCTATCCTTGCTGGCTTTCTTTCTACTGGTGTATATAAATTTTTTGTTTTCTTCGTCTCCCCAGCATCCCTACCCCTCCTCAGCGCCCCTAGCACCTCCCCAAAACCTGCTAACACACCCTAGCACCTCCCAACACACCATAGAACTCCCCTAGCACCTACCAGCACCAGCTAGCACCTCCCCAACACACCTTAGCCCTTCCCTAGCAGCTGCCAGAACCTCCCCAGCACCCCCTAGCACCTCTTCAGCGCCCTCAAGCCCCCCTTCTCAGCACAGCCAGAGGCCTGCCCATCAGTCCCCAGGAGCCAGGTGTGCGTGCGTTAAATTATTACCCATCATTAGGTCTGTGGAACCAGTCTTTACTCCTCAACCGACTCCTTCACACCCTCGGGAAGAGGAGGTTGAAAGAAGGAGGATTATAATGTGAAGTGGGTGGTGAATAGGAGGAAGGAGGAAGAGGAGATACTGGAAGTGAGGAGAGGATAAAGGAGATGGATAGAGGGAAGGAAGAGTGTGGTTGAGAGGAGGGAGGTTACTGAGGAATGCACATGACAGCAACGACACCTGGGGGGAGGAAGAGGAGGAGATGTGGTTGGGAAGAAGAGAGGGGATGAGGAGGAAGGAAGAGATGAGAGGAGTGGAGAGTGACGAGAGGAAGAAGTAGGAGAACGAGAGAACGAGGAAGAGACAGAATAAAAGACAACAAGGGGTGGAGGATGGATATGGAGAGAAGATTGGGAGAAATAAGAACTAGACAGATGAAGACGACGAAAGAGATGAAGAAGATGAAGGAGGAGGAGGAGGAGGAATAAGAGAAGACAAAAAATGAGGAAACAACAAGAAAGGAAGAGAAGAGGAAGAATAAAAAGGAAGAATAAATATGAAAGAGAGAAAGATACAGATAAGAAAACAAAACAAACAATAAAAAAAACGAGAACGTAGAGAAACTTAAGTACGCCTGGCTTATCGTCTTTTCGCCAGGCTAATCTTTTTCTTCGCCGGACTTATACATTTTTCACTTCGGCTTATCCATCTTTCGCTCGAATCCATTCATCTTCCAGCTGTCTAGGTTATCCATGTTTCGCCAGGCTTATCCCTTCTTCGCCTGGCTAACTCTCCCCCTAGTTGTCTTATTATTTGAACCTTTAGATGTTATTCCCACGCTACACATATTTTTCCCACGCTACACATATAGTTTTCCCACGCTACACATATTTTTCCCACGCTAGACATATTTTTCCCACGCTATATATATTTTTCCCGCAACATATTTTTCCGCTACATATATTTTTACGCTACACATATTTTTCCCACGCTACATATAGTTTTCCACGCTACACATATTTTTCCCTACTATATTTTTCCCCACGCTAGACATATTTTCCCACGCTCGGTTATCTTGGCCCGGTGAGCCATTCTTCCCAGCTTATCTTTTCACGCCGGATCATTCTTCCCACGCTCGGCTCATTCTTCCCACGCCTGGTTTATTCTTCCCACGCCTGGTTTATCCTTCCCGCCTGGTTATTCTTCCCACGCCTGGTTTATCTTCCCGCCTGGTTTATCCTCCCCACGCCTGGTTTATCCTCCCCACGCCTGGTTTATCTCTCCCTGTTTATCCTCCCACGCCTGGTTTATCCTCCACGCCTGGTTTATCCCCACGCCTGGTTTATCCTCCCCACCTGGTTTATCCTCCCCACGCCTGGTTTATCCTCCCACGCCTGGTTTATCCCCACCCTGGTTTATCTCCCCTGGTTTATCCTCCCACGCCTGGTTTATCTCCCACCTGGTTTATCCTCCCCACGCCTGGTTTATCCTCCCACGCCTGGTTTATCCTCCACGCCTGGTTTATCCTCCCCACGCCTGGTTTATCCTCCCCACGCCTGGTTTATCCTCCTCACGCCTGGTTTATCCTCCCGCCTGGTTTATCTATTAAGTCTTTCAGTGATTATTTAAGATTTACTCCTCATGTAAGTGAGTGAGTGAGTGTGAGTAAGGATGCTGTGAGTGTAAGGGTGTATTACAGAGTATGAGTGGTGTAAGTATGAGTGGGTGAAAGTGAGTAGGAATGGTGTGAGTGTGAGAGTGTAACAGGGTGAGTGAGTATAAGTGAATATGAGGCAGTATGAGGGAGGAAGGTGTGAGTATAAGTGAATATGAGGCAGTAAGGGACGAGTGGAGTATAAGTGAATATAGGCAGTATAGGGAGGAAGGTGTGAGTATAAGTAAATATGAGGCAGTATGAGGGACGAAGGTGTGAGTATAAGTGAGGGAGGCAGTATGAGGAAGGTGTGAGTATAAGTGAATATGAGGCAGTATGAGGGAGGAAGGTGTGAGTATAAGTAAATATGAGGCAGTATGAGGGAGGAAGGTGTGACTATAAGTGAATATGAGGCAGTATGAGGAAGGTGTGAGTATAAGTGAATATGAGGCATTATGAGGGACGAAGGTGTGAGTATAAGTAAATATGAGGCAGTATGAGGGACGAAGGTGTGAGTTTAAGTGAAGGTGAGGAAATATGAGGAAAGAAGGTGTGAGTATAAGTGAGTATGAGGCAGTATGAGGAAAGAAGGTGTGAGTATAAGTGAGTATGAGGCAGTATGAGGGAGGAAGGTGTGAGTGGTATCCCTCGCGGCCGGTATTACATGAGTCAAGGGACAGCCTACTTAAGAACTCACTTCATTTGCCTAATTAGTGCCCGGTGGGTGTGTGGCACTGCCTGGCACCCTGGAGGGAGGCACTCACGACGCTGCTGTTACTCCTGCTAGTGCCACTACCACCAACATGGCCCTCTAGTTTATTTACATTGGTTTATTTTTTTGGCTACATCTGGTTTATCTTGTGTAACTTGAAACCTTCACTTACCAAACTTAAACCAACTTAATCCTGGTTTTTCTCTTATCTTTAACAAATTTATTTTAACCTAATCTTACTAACCAAATCTAAATTATTCTTAAAATATCAAACCAAAGATAAAAAAAAATTACCTAACCAAACCATGTTAAACTTAATCTAACCAAAGTATAACTAACTTAAACTAACCAAACCTATGCAATTTTAGCCTAATGTAACCAAACCAAACCTACCCTAATTACCTAAGCAAACCAAACCAAACTTAACCAACTCAAAGACACCTAACCTAACCAAATCAAACCAAAACTAACCTAACCTAACCTAACCAAATCAAACCAAAACTAACCTAACCTATCCTAAACAAACCAAACCTAACCTAACCTAACCAATTTCTTTGTTACGTCTTTCGTGTATAAATGGCTCCCATCCACTTAAGATAATCAACATGTTAAATTACAGGTGTACAGTCTACCTCCCTTTAACATACAGGTAAATGTACTCTACCCAATATATTAACAGCATCAATATCCCTCAAACTAATCTAATAACAGAATATATTGTAAGCTCTATTAACTTCCAATGCTAAATTAAATAACTAAATTTAGAATAGATTATAATATATTCATAATTACATGTGAGGTATCCACATTATTCCACTAAATTAATTAACGATGAATTGACTGTAAGAGCGAAATTTCCTTGAATATTATTACTTTTATTTTGTACCAGTAAAAATAACGTGACGACTTAAACACACTCATGAAATACCACTACTGCATTCGATTAAGGAACAATATTTAGATTACCTGAGGATTGGACACCCTGGCTTATTTCGCCTGAAGATCAACCATCCTAACCTAACCAAACCTAACCTAACCTAACCTAACCTAACCTTACCTAACCTAACCTAACCTAACCTAACCTAACCTAACCTTACCTTACCTAACCTAACCTAACCTAACCTAACCTTACCTAACCTAACCTAACCTAACCTTACCTAACCTAACCTAACCTAACCTAATCTAACCTAGACGATCCCAATACTCTTCTCCCTAATATGTTACAGGTATAAATCACGTTACACACACACACATATACCTGACCTAAGACGCAAGAACCAACTCACTAAAACATGTCATCAACATGTTCTGAAAACCCGAGACCACATCCTGAATCGTAAAGAACGGTCTGTAGAGTAGAAACCAGTGACTATTTGTAGAGAATAATAATAACACAGACGGTAGAGACCCTGTACACATGTTATGCTACACCACACGAGAACCTTTATGAGTAACACAGAGAGAACAACAGTGTTACTTACGTTGTTACTGGAGGTGCCGGCTAGGGTGTCCGAGGACCAGCCACCACCTGAAACATATGAAACACCAATTAGAAACACACAGGTCAAGTTGTAGAAGTCATTGCCTGAAACACAAGAAACTCCCATAAAAAACCCGGAATTAAGTTTTACAATAATGTAATCAGTATTTTAGCCTTTAAAGTATATGAGAGAATTTCAGTTTATATATAATATCATCCCAAGTCACAGCATCATTATCATCCTAGGTCACACATCATCCTCATCCTAGATCACACACACATCATCATCATTATCATCCTAGGTCACACATCATCCTCCTCCTAGGTCACATACAACGTCATTATCATCATCCTAGGTCACACACAGCATCATTATCATCATCCTAGATCACACACAGAGCATCATCATCATCATACGTATTATGTGGGATGATGAGCCATATCATTCAAACTTTAGGTATTAAGGGTAAGAGGCGGTACACTCTGGGATAACACATTATTGGCTCTCACTTACCCACCACCGCCTCCACTCTGCCTTGTGCCCCCCTCCGTCGCTATCAACGAGGGATAGATCGTGTAAAACCTCGTAGGAATGTGTAAACTTGGTGAAACTCTGTGTAAACCTGGTGAAACTATGTGTAAACCTGGTGAAACTCTGTGTAAACCTGGTGAAACTATGTGTAAATCGGGTGAAACTATGTGTAAACCTGGTGAAACTTTGTGTAAATCGGATGAAACTATGTGTAAACCTAATAAAACTATGCATAAACCTGGTGAAATATGTGTAAACCTAGTGAGACTATATGTAAATCGGATGAAAATGTGTAAATCCGGTGAAAAATATGTGTAAACCTCCTGAATCACATAACCCGATCTATCAAGCCTAGCCACCACATCTCTAACCTAACCTAACCTACTGTACTTCCTCACGTAAACTCACAAAACCACATGATACATCAATTCATCATACCTCCAACACTAACGATAAGTGCCACACATACGAGGTATATAAATCACACACACACACACACCTGCTATCATTGTACAAGGTATAGTGTCAATCAAGACTGCACTATACAAATACACATATTGCAATTCGACCCTACATATTGCCAACATAATTGCTGATCAACCACATGTACCATAAATACCTCCCACATATACACCTACAAGCTTTTGAGTCTAAGAGCCTCTAAGCTCAGTACCAATATGACCTGTGGTACAAGGCTCAGTACCATTAAATAAAGTGCCGCTATGGCCTGTACCACTAAGCTCAGTGCCGTTAAGTCTAGTGCCACTAAGCCCAGTGCCACTAAATTCTGTGTTATTACCTCTACTGCCACCCACGAGGCCAGGGATCACAAGCAGAGGGAAGAGTATGGTGGTGGTGGTGGTGGTAGATGATGGTGGTAGTAGGTGGTGGTGATGGTGGTAGTAATTGGTAGTAATGGTGGTAGGTGTTGGTTGGTGGAACTGGTAGATGATAAGTGATCGGAGGTGGTGGTGGCAATGGTACACGGTAGTGGTGGTGATGGTAATGGTTGATAGTGGTGATGGTAGTGGTAAGTGGTGGCGAGTGAATGTGTCCCGCCCGGTGCTGCCACCTCGCGGCCGTCGGCTTACTATAACATCTAGAGACTCACCAGGGGATGATCACGCCGCCTCCACTCTCTTATAGGGTTCATACAAGAGATTTGATCCATCATGTACAGTAACTTCATGCGTAGAGAATCGAATCCTCATGTTGGTTCATACGTGGATATACCCCTTATGTTGGTTCATACGTGGATATACCCCTTATGTTGGTTCATACGTGGATATACCCCTTATGTTGGTTCATACGTGGATATTAGAACCCTCATGTTGGTTCATATGTGGAGATTCGAATCCTAATTTTGTACCATGAGAAGGAAGGAACAAAGAAGATGGAGACATCATAAGGTTCATTCCACTAACCACTTTTCCTCCTCTTTCTCCTCCTCCTCCCCCTTCTTCCTCCTCCTCCCCCTTCTTCCTCCTCCTCCCCCTTCTTCCTCCTCCTCCTCCGTTAATCAGCTGCTGTGTGGTCAAGACACTGTGGTCACGTACTGTCTCCCTCACACCCCTCTCCCTCCACCTTTGTTTATCTCACCCTGTCTCTCTTTTCTCTCCTATCTTGTCTCTCTCTGACCATTCTTCCTCTCTCTCTCATTATGTCTCTCTGGTCATTCTTTCCTTGTTCATCTCCTACTGAATCTCTTCTCTTTATCTCTCCAGTCATTCTCTTACGGTGTCTCTTTGTTTACTTTTCTTTCTCTCATCTTTATTCACTTTATCTATCATGCTCATTCTTTATTATATACTCTACAGGTAGGTAAGGCTAGAGTACGTACACACACACACACACACACACACACACACACACACACACACACAACAGCTGGTTGCCTCATCATGTCAGGTCGATTTCTTGCCTTGTGTGTCTCTGAGCATGGAGATGGAGGGAGTGAGGAACTATTTTATCCGGAGTTGGTCACGACACGAGCCTACTGTACCTACTCGGCCACTAACACTGTACCTCCTTCGCTCTACAGATACAACAAACATTAAGATATAATTAAATAGGGACAGGAGGTGATGCTTTTCCGGCTAAAACGAGACAAATCGAACTAGAGGCCAAAGCTAACAAATAGTTACAATAAATGCTGTTCTTATCCACGGTCATCTTGGCTACTATGATGTAAAGTTGCTTAACAAATTTCAATTAAATTCTTTAAGTGTTTCACAAGTTACTGGAGTGCACAGGATAGACTGTCCGGCCGGATAGTGAGTATTTTCATTGTTCGGCTGAATAGTCGAATATATATATATATATATATATATATATATATATATATATATATATATATATATATATATATATATATATATATATATAATTATATATATAAATTGATTATCTGCATTGAAATATCCGTTACTCCATTTAATAAAAATCTAGGCTACGCCTAATCATTTCAACAGCTTCGCCTATTGGTAGACTAACTCGAAAAAAACAACAACTTACTGTAGCCTTCATACATTTGCCTTTTGTAAACCACTGTCTCATGTCCCTGTAACCGTCATTTTACACAGGTGGTGTTGTTTAAGACTTCAAGACGTCAGGTGACCATAAAAGTCGCCACATACTGCACTTACAGTTGTCAGCAGCCGTGACTGACACTGTACTATAGTCTTCATTAACTTACGTTGTCGGTCAGCCACACAAAACAATTCTCGTTGTGTACACCCACCCTCCCTCCCCTGTGCACACCCACCCACCCTCCCTCCCTTCCGTTGTGTACACTCACCCTCCCTCCGTTGCGTACACCCTCCATCCCTCTCTTCCCTTCGTTGCGTACACCCTCCCTCCCTCCCTCTTTCCCCTACGACCTCAACAAAGCCTCAGATGAATCTCTTAAGATCATAAATTACCTTTTAAGCGCCGATAAAAAAAAAGAAACAAAAATCTTTACGGAAAATGACCTTACAAAAAACGGCCATTAAGAATATAGTAAAAGGGCTTGACACCTCAAATGGTGTTGGTACCTGAAATGGTGTTGATACCTTAAATGGTGTTGAAGGACAATAATCATTCCAATATAAAAATAATGACCTGATTACGACCCAGAAACCATGATCATATGTTTTCAGAGAGAGAGAGAGAGAGAGAGAGAGAGAGAGAGAGAGAGAGAGAGAGAAGGAAGAGGAAGGCGTGTAAGAGACGCGGGGAGGTGAGGCGGATCCGACGCCGCTGGTGAATTTTTAATTACCACTTTAGTCCCCCTAATGAATGCTAAGGAAAACGGGCAGAGGGCTTATAATGTGCCTCTCTCTCTCTCTCCCTCTGACGGTGGCTTGTGGAGTGTTGGTGTCCTCATGGTGCCACTTGAGATATGGCACTATCACCAGGTAAAGTTCTATGGTGCCATAATACACTCCTATGGTACCATCCTCAGGTAAGATCTTATTATAACCATCACCATGTAAAGTAGCTCGTATGGCACCATGATCAGATTTAATGCCTTAGGATACCATTGCCATACCAGTGACATTAATACCATGAACTAGTAGGGTTTATATATAATGTAAACGAAACATCTTAATTTTCCTGCAGTTTATCCTTGAGAAATCCGTTTTCTATAATTTCTTTTGAGGGAATTTCTCAACCGGTCACCTTACACAAAACAAGAATTTTTTTATAGGTGTTTTCTCGCGATAAACAAACGGTGCCACAAACAGGACATAAACAAACGGTGCCACAAACAGGACATAAACAAACGGTGCCACAAACAGGACATAAACAAACGGTACCACAAACGGGTCACATTCCTCCCACAGAGAAACATTGACCTTGACTTTACAATGACCTTCAGCTTTGACCTTCTGACCTGATATTCAATAGGGTCTTGTGTCTCCGTAAGGTCAACTAACTACTGAAATTATATAAAGATACGGTGACTTCAACAACAGTTATCATGCGGACACGAAAACAGACAGACAGACAGACAGACAGACAGACAGACATTTAAGGCTCAACTAAAACGGGGTATATAATAGACAAAAAAAGTTAGATAAAATAAAAATTACATCGTGATTAATCCCTCTGTTGAAGTGTTTTAAAATACTCGGAAAAATTATATATGTAATTTCATGAGATTTTCCGAATAAAAATGAATAAAGAATGATTTGTTGGTCTTTATTTAGAGAGGTGTTTTAAGACCTTTTCTTTATTAATTTGCTAATGTACTTAATGGAATTATATGGAATTAATAAAGGAATGAATCTATAACAAAAGAATAAATAAAAGAATAAGTGGAATACGAAGAAGAAAATAGACAAAAGCCTGAAAGGTGGATGGAAGAAGGCGATCCTGTGGGCTTATGGAGTCGGTCTGTGATTCAAAAGAGAAAACCTCAGAGGAGCATCAGTGAGGAGGGTTTCCACGCGAACGAACGGGATCGGATTATCTACACCGATAGTCTTTTGTTTCTTACAACCAAAAACAAAACCCCAAACAAAGGCTTTTT